AGACCTGCCTGGGCAACTTGGTGAGACCTCATCTCTACAATAAATCAAAAACTAGCCAGGCGTGGTAGCGTGCGCCTGTAGTTCCAGCTACTTGGAAGGCTGAGGCGGAAGGATCGCCGGAGCCCAGCAGGTCGAGGCTGCAGTGGCCGGGAGCGGCCACTGCACTCCAGTCTGGGCGACAGAGTGAGATTCCAACTCAAAAAAAAAAGAAAAGAATACATAATCAGGCATAGTGGCTTACACCTGTAATCCCAGAACTTTGGGAGGTTGAGGTGGGAGGATTGCTTGAGATCAGAAGTTCAAGGCCAGCCTCTGCAGCATAGTAAAATCCCCATCTCTTAAAAAAAAAAAAAACAAACTAAAATGAGTTGAGCATGGTGGTACGTGCCTGTAATCTCAGCTACTCAGCAGTCTGAGGCAGCAGGATCACTTGAGTCCAGGAGTTCGAGGCTGCAGTGAGCTATGATGGCACCACTGCACTCTAGCCTGGGTGACAGAGGGAGACCCTGTCTCCAAAAAAAGAAAGAGCTGAACACAGTGGCTCATGCCTGTAATCCCAGCACTTTGGGAGGCAGAGGCAAGAGGTCTGCCTGAGCCCAGGGTTTTGAGACCAGCCCGGGCAGCTGGGCGAGACCTCCTCTCGACAACAAACCAAAAAATTAGCCAGGCATGGTGGCACACACCTGTAGTTCCAGCTACTTGGAAGGCTGAGGCAGAAGGACTGCCTGAGCCTAGCAGGTTGAGGCTGCAGTGGCCAGGAGCGTGTCTCTGCACTCCAGTCTGGGAGACAGAGTGAGATTCTGACTCCAAAACAAAACAAAACAAAAAGACAGACAGGAAAGAAGGAAGAAAGGCAAGGAGGGAGGGAGGGAAGGAGGGAAGGAAGAGAATACATAATAAGGCAAGAAATGCAAAGACATTCTTAGGGACCCTCACAGGTCTTTGGAAGACCCTGTGCAATTGAGGGGTTTATGACTTAAGTGCCTAGCGTCATGGTGAGTCCACTTTTTTTTTTTTTTTTTTTTGAGTCGGAGTCTCACTCCATTGCCCAGGCTGGAGTGCAGGGACACACTCACAGCCACTGCAGACTCGACCTGCTGGGCTCAGGCGATCCTTCTGTCTCAGCCTTTCAAGTGACTGGAACTACAGGCACATGGCTAATTTTTTGATTCATTGTAGAGATGAGATCTTGCTAAGTTGCCCAGGCTGGTCTTGAACCTGTGGTCTCAGGCAATCCTCTCACCTTGGCCTCTCAAAGTGCTGGAATTACAGGCATGAGCCACCGCACCCGGCCATAAGTCCACTTCTTGCCATGTGCTCAATAAATACATGTTGCACAAATGATGAAAGGTGAGAGCAATATCTACCACTCCTGCATCCCAAGAACTATGCTGAGAACTTCATGTGTAGAAACTCATTGGACACTCACAATGATACTGTGAGATCAAGCCTTCTGATGGTTATTGCTGCTTGGGGGCAAGAGGTGGCTGCTCTCGGTGCTTTATAGTTTTAATAAATGTGATTCTGATAATGGCACTACATTGCGGTTTGTCTTTAGAGACAGGGATTCCCTCTTGCCCAGGCTGAGGGTGGTGGCGTGAATGCAGCTCACTGCAGCCTCAGGTTCCTGGGGTTCTGAGGGAGTGACCTTGATCTGTCTCTCACTTCCTTCCATTAGCTCAGCCCTGGGCCCAGCCTAGTGAAGGAGACACCTTCTCCCGGTGAAGCCCCTTGATGTAACTGTAAAGCAATTAAATTTTTTTTTTTGAGTTGGAATCTTACTCTGTTGCCCGGGCTGGAGTGAGCTAACACATTCCCAGCCCACTGCAACCTCAACCTGCTGGGCTCAGGCGATCCTCCACCTCAGCCTTCCAAGTAGCTGGAATTACAGGCGTGCACCACCATGCCTGGCTAATTTTTGCTTTATTGCAGAGATGAGGTTTCGCCAAGTTGCCCAGGTTGGTCTCGAACTCGTGGGCTCAGGCAATGCTCTCACCTCGGCCTCCCAAAGTCCTGGTATTATAGGCATGAGCCACTGTGCCCGGCCTCAAATATTTTTTGGTCACGACCCTTCACCACCCAAAAAAAAATCTTGCTGCAGTAATATTAAGGAACTAGGATTGAAAAACATCTATATAAAACAAAAAAACAAAACAAAGACGTGTATAAGGAGAATGGCAAGGTCATCCCTCCAGAAGTGTCCTTCTATCCTGGGGGAAGTCACTTAGCCTTAGTCGTCACAGCTTTTCCACTGTAAACTGAGTCAGGATAATGTCTCTGGGCTGGATGGATTCCATCTGTTCCTGTAGACCTCTTGTTCCACTCTCCCATCCTGCTTTGGACCACAGGAGGCTGCCTTCCAGTCCGTGGGAGCCTCAGCAGAGCACTGGAGCTCGGGGTGTTTCTTTTTCCAACCCCTCCTGGTGCGGCTGGCTGCTCCAACTTCTGAAGACAGCGCCTCTCACCACCTCCACTGCAGTCTCTCTGCATCCTCTCGCCCTAGGAGCAGTAACAACTCTCGCCTGGGACCAAGTCTGGGCCCCTGTCCCTCCCATGTGGTTTCCCACCCTCCTCAAACTTCCCAAAGAGCCAGTAGTGGTGGCTCACGCCTGTCATCACAGCACTTTGGGAAGCTGAGGTGGGAGGATTGCTTGAGCCCAGGAGTTTGAGACCAGCCTGGACAACATAGCGAGACCTTGTCTCTACAAAAAAAAAAAAAAAAGTCACTGGGCTCAGTGGCTCAGCCTGTAATCCCAGCACTTTGGGAGGCCAAGGTGAGTGGATTGCCTGAGCTCACGGGTTCAAGACCCACCCGGGCAACTCATCTCTACAATACATAAAAAAAAAATTAGCCGGGCGTGGTAGCACACACCTGTAGTTCCAACTACTTGGAAGGCTGAGGCAGAAGAATCGCCAGAGCCTAGCAAGTCGAGGCTGTGGTGGCTGGGAGCGTGCCACTGCACTCCAGTCTGGGCGACAGAGTGAGACTCCAACTCAATAAAAAAAAAAAGAAAAAAATTAGCCAGGCATGGTGACGCATGTCCGTAGTCTAGGAAGTTGAGGCTGCAGTGAACCGTGATCATGTGAATACACTCTAACCTGGGCAACAGAGCAAGATCCTGACTCAAAAAGGAAAAAAAACCTTCCCAAATAGTCTCTTTATTAAACCCTTCTCAAATCGCCCAGTCTGAGTGTATTGTCCATTCCGGCAGGGTCCCTGACTGATGCAGGTATCTTACTAACCAGGATGCTGTGAGAATTAGCGAGAAAGGAAACTTGAAAGATTGCTCTTGTTACTGACAGCTAAAGTGAGCCAGCAGGGCTTTGGGTGGAAGGAGAGTGGAAAGGAAGGGGTGTACATCTGCCATGCGTCCCTGCCCCCTACAGCCTGGATTTCCCAAGGGCACCCTCACTAAGTCCCTGAGCCAGTAGAAGTGATACACCTGTGACAGGTAAGGAACAGGATCTCCAGCAGAGGGATCCATCTTACAACTGAAACTGCTTAAAAAGATCTCACTTGAAAACCATCAGTATTAGTTATTACACACCCTGCAAGATCACAGCCCTGTGTGCTTGGATGCCAGTAAGAACTACAGTAAAAGTTTTCCTTGGAAATTTACTACATGTCATACACAAGTCTCTTAACATATCCAGTGCTCACAAATCCCAGTGAGACTTTGGTACTATTATTATTATTATTATTATTTTTGAGTTGGAGTCTCACTCTTGTCACCCAGGTTGGAGCACAGAGGCATGCTCATGGCCATCGCATCCTTGGCCTGCTGGGCTCAGGTGATCCTTCAGCTTCAGCCTGTCAAGTAGCTCAAACTACAGGCGCTTGCCACCACGTTCAGCTAATTTTTTTTTTTTTTTGAGTTGGAGTCTCACTCGGTGGCCCAGACTGG